CACACACACACACACACACACACACACACACACACACACACACACACGATAAGAGAAATGAATACATATCAGGGTTCCATCCAGCACTTGGAGAAGAAAGTATAATAATTCTGCTTGGCCAGCTCCATAACCATGGTCCTCCCTGAGCTCTCAGATGGTTGGCCAGATATTCATCATATTAACTCAATAAGAAAAGCAGCTAGAGAGGAGAATCTGGGACTCTACAAGTATCAGAGACAGAGGGAACCAGCTCAGATGGGCAAGAGGCTCTGTCAGGAAATCAGCCAGAGTAGAGAATGATGTTGCCAAAGTGGGACACCAGAAAAAGTTTACTTATCAAATAGGACAGTGTCGAAATGGAGAGACTACAGATGCTAGAACAGGGCCTGGTGGGCCACACCTGCAATCCTGGCACACACATACGAATGTATGTACATGTATGTGTGTGTGTGTGTGTGCGCGCGCGCGCGTGCGTGTTGGGAGGGTTGAAGCCGGCAGAACAACCCGCATAGGAAGCACCATGTCTCAAAAGGAAATGCCTGGAAGTGTAAGTTGGAGGTGGAAGCCTTGGCACACGCTGGGGCTCCGGGACTGATTAATAGGCAGGCATGAAGACAAATGAGATCTGAGCAAGTTAGTTTAAAGGACTGAGTGAGGGACATGTACAAAACACCCTACCCTATAAACAAAGAGGACAGCATTTGCTGAGAAAGCCATGGGACATTTGAAAAGTTAACCACGCTTAAGTCACAAATAAACTGCCAGTGCACGGCAGAAGGCATGAATAATTCAGGCCACATTCCTTGACTAGGACACAATAAAAGTAGATATTAATAATGAAAAATAAACACACAGGGCTTTCAACCACTGAACTTCCAAATAGTTGGAAACTTAAGAAAATGCCCCCTTAAGGATTGTCAGCCTAAAAGAGAACTTAAGAACATAATTACACATTGTTTGGAAAAGAGTAAGGAAGAATAGGTTTAAATGAATGGATAAAGCCTGCATTATAGTTTTAGGAGAATTCATATCCTTAATTATTCTATTACTGAGCCCAAAGCAACAAAATTAAGTGGACTAGATATTCCCCCTAAATATCTGGAATCAAAAAAAAAAAATTAAATGACC